TTCATGCCGTTTTAACTCATCTAAGCTCCACTGCAGGCAGCAGAAGCGAGTGTTTATTGGATAAATAAAGGAGCGAAATGATTTATTGATTAAAAAAAGAAAAAGAAAAACAACTCATGTAATTCATTTTATGCAACGTTTTATTACCAGCAAGGATTCTGATTTTTAAATGTGGAAACAAGCGTTTTTGTTACAAAAGTTAATAAAATACGTGAAACAATTGTTAAAGGACGAAAGCAGCAAAAGCTCTTGAACACTCAGCAAACACAGCAGAAAAGCAAGCAAAGTTTTCAGACTGTTTCCAGACATGAGAATATGCAACATCCACTGCTGAAACAATGGCATGAAAAAGAAGAAAAACTCCATTTTAAAAAGAAGAAGAAAATAGCCAAGGCAGTAACTGAGCTGTAGAGTCAGGGGTGGTGGAGAGACACGAAGGGGGCGGGGTGGCCCCAGGATAAGGCCGGGCCAGGCGGTGCGCTGGCTCACACTTCCAGCCCAGTTAGACTCACACAACAGTCTTCTGAGATCCCTCAGGCGCCACCGATCGGACGTGACCCCTGCCCTCCGGGAGTCCACGGGCTGGAGGCGAAGACAAAATTCGACTGCAGAAAGTAACGCGGTAGCCGTCACTAAGGGTCCCTTTGGAAATCAGCCTGGCTCTTGGCAACTGGCACTTAGTGGCCTTCGGGTCGGTCCCTAGTGAGGGGAAGTGGCCCTCCAGGCAGGCAGCTGTTCGCCAGACTTAGAAACAGCCCTAAAAGCAGGAGCCTGACAAGACAGCTCCTCTGATGACAGAGCCCAGTCGGGGGTCTGAGGGGGCAGTGGTGTGGGGGGGTCAGGGGTCCAGGCACGGGAATTAGGCCAGTCCTGGCCTGAACACCTCCAAATGTGGACCTTGGGCAAGCTACTCAACCTCTCCGTGCCTCAGTTTCTCCATCCCTAAGATGGGGAGAGTAATATCTACTTCCTGCTGGAAGAGGATTACATGGGACTGTGCGTGTGAGGCGTGGCGTTGACACGCAGACACAGCGCTCGCTCACTCTCAAATCCTTACTCTCGCCGGCCAGGTGCCAACTGAAAAGGCAGCACAAGCCGATCTCGGGCCTTTGTTCCATCAGCTGACTGATGGCTCCGAGATCTCGATGCGGATAATCACCAGGACTCTTCCTGTGGCGCTGTCCCTCCCGGCGTGGGGGCAGGCCACCCTCGCAAGCCGCAGAGCAGCTGTGGCCGTGGCATTGGCAGGCCGCGGTGTTCCAGAGAATGGGCATAGATTGAAAACACTCGCGTCTCCAGGGCCTCCAGAGCAATGGCTAATCAGGCCCACGGTGGCAGCTCAGTGTCCTCTTCCAAGCCAACCATCCTGTGCTTTTCCAAGGCCAGCTCTTACTCAGCCAGTTCCATCCTACGGTGGGGGGTGGGGGGTCAGGGCATCCTTGTTTAGCAACCTGCAACCTAAACTCGCATTCCCAATGATTCTGCAATCCTTGCAAGTTATTGGGGTGGAAGGGACCTACTGAAAATAATGCCTTTAATTTGGCAATACCTGTCTATCCCAGTTACAGATGCACATGCTCTTGACTGCAATCCCAGGTCAAGGACTTTATTCTGCAGATAGACTCACACACAGGATGGCGGACAGTCACAGCCAGAGAATGGAAACAACTTTGATACCCATCGGTAGGAGATAGAGATAATGCCACGTACACATAATGAAGTATCAATCACGCAACGTCTGTTTGAATACTGAACACAGCTGTTGAGCGTGCATCCCATGCCAGACACCGTTCTAAGCGCTCAGGATACGTCAGTGAGCACAACAGAGATCCCCTGCTCCCACGGAGCTCACATCCCAGCTTACGTGCCACGGGCTGCTCAAAGGCTGCAGCAGATCGGAAACTAAGGAAATGGAGCCATCTCCAAGCTATATTGTAAATGGGAAAAAAAGCCAGACAGAGTGTGTATATGCCAGCATGTGTATACAGTGTGTCTTTGTGTTTGCATAACATTTTTCTGGAAGGACTCATGAGAAACTGAAGCAGTCATGCTCCAGAGAAGGAGCATTGAGGGGTCAGGTCAGCTTTGGGGGGTGGTGGTGGAGAATTTTTGGTGTTTGTAAAGTTTGCTTGTTCGTTTGTTTGAGATGGGGTCTCGCTATATCACTCAGGCTGGGCACAAACTCCTGGCCTCAAGCAATCCTCCCATCTCAGCCTCCTGAGTAGCTGGGACTACGGGAGCAAGCCACCTGCGCGGCAAGTTTGGATTTGTATCCTGTGCTGTCTTACCACAAAGCACAGAGTGAAACGTAAAGGATTTTCCTCTGCCGAGTCCCTCCAAACCCTTTCTTTGATCCTCTGGACCGGGGTTTCTCAGCCTTGGCACTGAGGACATGGGGACGGGTCATTCTTTGCTGCAGGTGCTGTCACGTAGCGGCATCCCTGGCCTGTATCCACTCGATGCCAGTAGCACCTTCTCCCTGTTGTGACAACCAAACACGTTTCCAGACGCGGAAGGAATTCCACGCAGGCAAAATCTCCCTGGTTAGAACCACTGCTCCAGACAACCTGTGAAATAGGGAGTGGGAACCACTGTCCCCATTAGACAGACAAGAAAGCTGAGGCCCAAAGAGCTTTTATTTTATTTTTTAAAATTGTGTGCCTCATTTTTCATTGTTATCTCTTCATTTATAATTTTAAATACACAGCACTCTGCTGCACTTTCCCGTCTTTTAAACAATCTGTAAATATAAAAATGATTTTGAGAAGCAGAATACAGTTTCTTTTAAAATTTCGATCAGCTTTCGGAAATGTTTTAGCTACATTAAATCTTAGCGGAGATGATGAGTCATACAGCATAACAATTATTTAAGAAATAAATGAAATACTTTCTATCAAGGTACGAGGGGAAAACTCACTAATCAGATGCTTGACATTCTGAACAGTGACATCCAACATGTTGAAATATCAAATCTCCTGCTTGGTTCAAAACGTACACTTTGCCCCCGAAGTTTGGACTTGGGTGGTCTCGTTTTTTCCAGTTAGATTATTAGTAGCCTCGTGAGGGCAGGACTAAGCCTTATCTTTTGTACCCATGGTGTCTGGTGTGGTTCCTGAGGAGGTTACGAAGGCACCCAGCAGGGCGTGGGCAGAGCGAAGACCAGGCCCTGGCGCACGGGAGGAGGCAGGTAGGGACTGTTGTCTGCCAGGGGGTTTGGAAACACAAACTCCAGG